AAGCAGTATTCTGTAAGTCACCCCATACAATGATACAGCTTTTCTAAATTGCCTCTTAGGAGGTTTCAGCTCTTACTTAACTCATTTAAGGGTTTTGTGGCACTTCAATTCATGAAGCCCTACATTCTGCTAAACCTTCATCAATCATAGCCAGTACGATTATTAATGAAGTGAGAACCTCAAAGGTAGAAACTGGGTCTCATTTATTACTCATTCCTAAGCATTTTGTGTATATTTGATAAACAGCAGGTTTTCAAACTAAACAAAGTAATGACTATCCTAAAGATGGTCTGAGTATGGAAATAGAGCACAGTAGAGATAAGAGATCCTTTCTAAGGCAGTAAGTCAAGTTGATTATATAAGACAGGAAAGTGTGATTTCAAAAACAATACTGATTAATTTAATAGAATTATCTTGAGATATAACACTATATCCCTAAAACATTCGATGGACTTTAGTATTTCATTCTTCTCTTCATTATGATAACCTTAATATGACAAATGAAATAAAACGTTCATAGTTTAATGTCAAAGACTTGCATCTTCCTAGAATCACCCAGTCATGTTTAACAAGGAGTGATGTCACCTAACATTATAGATGTTTGAATTCTAGAATCTCATATTCTGAGATGACTAGGTCTCTTGTTCATGATTTTTTTTGCAACAAAAATTAATGAATAAAATGAATTAACTATTACATAATGAGTTAAATAAAATTTTTGATAATATCAAATTTGTATTCATATGTAAAAACAACCATTTTTATCTTTAAAAAATTATCACCTATGGGAGGAAAAAGAGTAGAAATGAATGAATCTTGCGGGGCTAGGAAACCCAGAGGGAAATGTGATGCCCCCCAAATACCATGAGAAACCACAGTGTCTAAGCATTAGTGCATATGCATACTTAGGGGCTGTGTGACAAGAAACTCAGTGCCACACAGACAAGACCTCCTTTTGAGTGGTTGGTGAGAGTCGTAGAGGAGACTCCCAAAATAACACAGGCTATTATTGCCAGACCTCTTGGTTATCTCCCAGAACTAGTAGATAAGACCCTACTGCTAAAAAGAGGACATGCTTTGGACAGGACTTGGAGCAATGAAATGGGAACTGACCCGGAGAGGCCTCCTACCCGAAGTTTGGCTATCATAATTCTAGCTGATAATGTACAAACTGCCAAGGGAGAAAAACAATCAACTGTCTAACCCAGTCCTAAACCCTAATAACCATAATGAGCGGCACGGCAAACTACCTCTGTTGGTGTAGTAGTGGCACTGGCATCTGTGGGAAATCAGTAGCTATCTAATTGGACTTAAAGCCCTCTCAATGGGTGTGACTCATGTACGGCACTGTAAACTCAGCCAAATGCACATAGCAGGGGAAGACATAGATTCTAGAGAAAACCCTATCTCTTTCATAACTCTAAACAAAGGAAATTTCTTACCATATGCTAAATATGGATCCTTGTATTTACAGACAAGCATACTTTGATGAGCACACCACTCATCAAAGAAGTTTCTTTTTGCAACAGATGGAGGCTATTGCATAATTCCACAATTGGTCAGATACAGAGAACATACATCTGAGAGATGCCAAGTACTAGGTGACACGACTACAGTTGAACCTGTACACCCAAGGCTCATGGAACATAGTGGAACAAGCGGCAGAGAGAAAACTAATGCATCCTTCAACTTCCACCTGTGAAGCCTCCTTGTGATGCACACAGAAAGCCACAACTGGCCAAGTTTTAAAGAATAAGGGACTGCAGAGTGTGTATCCTTGGATGGGACTCCTATATTGAACCTCACCCACCCATGGATTCCAGGACCATTGTGGAAGAGGGGGGCAGAAAGATTGTAAGAGCCAGGGCTGGTTCACGAACAGAGGGAAGCAGAGGCTTTCAGGTTTCTGGAAGTGTACATATGTGAATATGTAGCAATGGTGGCATTCAGCACAGGACCCATGCCAACTCAATTAAACAAGGGTCCAGAGGGGAGGAGAGAAATGGTGGCAGGGTGGCCCTAGACTGAGAACTACTGGAGACTGACTGATGCTGGATAAGGGAGAGTATGCCTTACATATGATCTCTAGATGGGTTGACTAGACTCCTCCAGTGGACGAATTTACACTGAAGGGCATCTGGGTACAAAGGCTTGACTGGATGGGACTTACTGTGTACAGTGGGCTACATGAGGCCTGGTTGGGGGATGGGAGTCATTGATGGGAGAGGGGGTCTAAATTTGTTTAAGAGCTGTTGTATAAAATTATAAAAACTCAATAAAAATTAAAAAAATTATCCTCTAAATACAATAAACCTTTTAAAAGAGTGAAACAATTTTTTGTTTCATTTTTTGCTCCATAGGATTCTCATATAAAGAAACCTGAGAACATTCAGTAATGGTTTATGACCTGTGCAGAAATCAATAAACAATTAGTCACACTGCACTTGATTTTTTTATAATCAAGTTAAGGCATCCACAGAATACTAAGCAGGAGATGCTCCTCAGAGGGTAAGACATTATTCTCACATGTATACTCCATCCCACAACTGACCCATGACCTGCACTCTAGCTTCAGCTGCTGAAACTGGACTCCATAACAGACCCCACCCCAAGAAATAACTTATTATTTTAACCTAAGAATGAATTATAATCCAAATGAATAGCTTTGCTTTGAACCTTGAATATAAATTTAGACAAAAAGATGTAGATAAGATTTAGGAGTATATTAATAAAATAGATTAAGTCAGACCTATTTCTATAAATATGAGAAAGTGAAACCCATCATTGTTAGTTCTCATCTATTACTGTGGACTCATTGCTTGCCTTGCTCAATAATTAGTTTCAATAGCTGAGGGTGTACACAGAATATCCTTAAGCTGAATTTGAAACAAGCAAAGCCAGTTTTCTATGATTTATCTGTATCTATGATATATAGAAATACAAGTTTGGGAAGAGATCATACATGTCTTATCAACCTTTTCCCTCCTCCTAATCTTCCTTGTCTTTCTCATTATCTCTGAGCAGAGCCACTGAAGACATCCACCTATATAAGAGATTATATCAAGTGACTTTAAGGGGGGGCTAGGAATTAAGATTTATTCTAATCTTGTACCTAGTTTCAAGCAATGCTAAACAGAACCCTAGAGAGTCATCAGGTATGGAAGCAGAAGTCATTACATCATATAACACACTCTATTACCTCAGCACCAGTAACATCTTCAGTGTCCCTGAAGTACCCATCATATCACAGGTACTCAGTAAATGAGATGTTTGCATAAGGATGGTGATAGACGCCAGGAAATGTTGACAAATAGTTCTCAGAATAGCAGAGCCTTTGATAGCATTTACCAGTATCTGTGATTAAATACTCAGCATGGCTGATTTAAACTACCAGTGATTTACAAAGTTCCTTATAGTTGAACAGCCATCTTTTGGAAGCCAGTCAGGTCTAGCACACAATTAGAAAAAGGATCACAGGAGAGAAGACCAGGCAGCAGTCTAGGCCAGAGCTTAGAACTCCTTTTAGTCCACTCCCTTGGCCCAAGTCTTCATCGTGTACTTGCTTGTTTTTCAGGAACTTGCTATGTAAAATAGTTGTGTTAGTTAATCTTCTATGTTGACTTGATTGGATTTGGAATCACTTAGGAGACTGTGAGCATGACTGTGAGGGAATTTCCAGAGGGGTTTAACTGAGAAGGGAAGACCCACCTTGAATGGGAGTGGCACTATCCCATGGACTATGATGGGGTCTTAGACTGAATGAAAAGGAAAAAAGGGGAAAGTGAGTGCCCACATCCATCTGTACTTTGTGACTGTGAACACAATGTGACCTCATGCTTTCCTTGCCATGATGGCCTGTATCTCCTCAAACCATGAGCCAAAATAAACGCTTCTTATCCTTAACTTGCTTCTGTTGTATCAGGAAGAAAAGTAATACAATAACTCTCTTTAATGCCAATAATTAACTAGCTTGACTTTTAGGTCAGACCAGGTCTCCAAATACTTCACTGCTGGTCTCTATCAAGTAGACATGGCAGCAATAAAATATGTGAACTAAACCTGTTCTTGTGAGGGTCCTCTTCAAGTTCTGAGCCACGGACCTAGCTACTCTCTCTCCAAGGTTTGCTGCCAAATCTGATTCTATATTAGGGGACAGTCTCTCACACTCCATTTTCACTGGAACTAATTAAAGTTCATATATTTTTAACTCTGAAAAGTTTACTTTCCTAGTTACAACCACCTTCAGAAGTTCTATATGATTATTACAGTATAAGATGTTTTTGGGGGGCTAGAAAGATGGCTCAGTGGTTTAGAGCACGTGTTGTTCTCCCAGAGGACCCAAGTTCAAATCCCAGCACCCACATGGCAGCTAACAACTGTCAGTAACTCCAGTTCCAGGGGATCTGACACCATCTTCTGACCTCTGTGGGCACTGTACCACACAAAAGCTATTAGCCAACACCATTAGTAAATATTTTCTTGATTTAGAAGTATAAAGATCTTTAAGTCATTCTACTTCACTGATAATCTTTCTTGATTACACATAATTTTATGCAGCTGTAGTGAGATAATTAGTAAAAAACACTAAAACAATCAACTTCTGATTATAAGGTTTTTGGTTTTTCTTTTTATTTAAACAGTTGTACTAATGTGGATGGCATAGCCATGGGCAATTAATATTAAAAATAGCTATGCTTGCCAAATGCTAGAAATTGTTAAGTACCTCTATAGACAAGAAAAAGTCCCTGTTTCATTCAACTCCTGAGAAGGAAAATGAATAGCCAGAGGCATGATGAGTACACTAATGTTAACTTTGATACATTTTCAAACATTTACATAAACACAGTTCAGCTACAGACATGCGTTTACATATTCTGTAGAGAAGAGAAGGTGTGTCTGGTTTGTTAGCTGTTTTCTGTTTGATCAGTATTGAAACTACAGAAATAAAGCCTACAACACAGTAGTAAGGATTACACTACAGTAAATTTGAAGGCTCTTACCTGTACATTTGTAGTCAGAGGCTACCCCTTTAAGTACAGCATCAAAGACAGATATTTCTACTCGCTGTTTCCGGTGGTGACAACTCAGAAGCAAGGAGGGCTGGGATACAATGAAGTAGAGAAACGGATCTAGCTGTAAGTCACCGGTTCCTTTTCGACCAGGCTGCCGAACAATGGTTATGCCAAGTGCTTGCCGAGCAGATGATCTCGTGGATGCATGGAGACTTTCAAGAGAGAAAACTCTTATTTTTTTCCCCGAAGGAAAAGTGGGGCCGTTTAAGATATCTTCAGCTGTCACTGTGGAAATGCACACCTGGTTGGGCTTAGCAACATCTGAATCAACTTCTGAGAGATTTAAGGAGCTCTTTCCTGTTTTTCCATCTACATTCTGTTCTGGTGATTTCGATTTGGGTAAGGCCAAAGAGGAATAGGTCATTAGTGAGATCCTGCTTGCAGTAATAAATATGTCAAAGGGAATAAAGTTTAGGTTTTTTACAATTGAGGACTGGCGTGAGGGGCGGGCAATGCGGTGCTGACTGGCACCACTGTGTCGCTCAATTTGCACTATTCGAATTTTAACGCTGTCACTGCCAATTCCACTGTCTGGAGCGCCACTGTACCAGGAAGAGGTTTCAGCTATGCCTCCATCAAATGTATCCATTTTTTTCTGTTCTTGCTTAGAGATCTGAAAGAAAAAAACAATGAAATATGTCTAAGTAGTTATTCATCAAGTTCTTACATAAACAATGCTATATACACATGCTGTTTAAAGGGAACTTAATATGAGCTTTACATAACTTAAAAACATAATAATCATAAAACAAAGTAGGTACTCATTCCAATAAAAATAAAAATTATCACCTCATAACCAAAGGGAGAATTTATTTTTTGAGATAAGGTCTCACTTCTTAGCCCAGGCTAGCCTGGAACTCACTATGTAGACTAAAATGATCTGAAACTCAGCAATCTTCCTGCTTCTGCCTCCAGCTGCTGAGATTATAGACCTATGCCACCACACCAGGCTGAAATGCCAAGAAATTCTTGCGCACAAATATCAAACATGCATTTCCTTCATTAAAATATACTTGAGTGTCAGAGTTTCTCACTTTGGATTAATACATCAGCCATTTAAAAATGTTTCCCCAAATATTTTAGTGTTCTTTACAATATTTTTTCAAGTAATACATTAAATGGTTACCAAATCATGTTCACTATTGGTGAACACAGATTTCATATATAGGCTATATTATGTTTTCACCCTTTTAATAAAAGTGGTTGATAAGTTTTTGGATGGTAAGAAAAGGAGGAAAATGTCAGAGGTTGAAAAGTTCAATGCCCTTCAAAAGACAAAGAACATAAAACCAAACACATAGCATTGAAAAAGATTTTAATTTTCCTTTCCTACAACAGGACTTAGGAGGAGGATAAGATAATCAAGTAGTTCAGTACTGAAACCTCTACAGGTAGATTTTTTTCTTAACATTTTCCACCAGTGAATCCCTGCAGAGGGGAAAGGGCAACTTGGTGGCAGCAAAAGTTGTAATCACTTGGGCAGCTTGACTCTGACCTTCCACTCCCCTTTCTTGAATCCCTACTCACCTACTGAGTACCTGGACATTTTATTTGCTTTTTTTCTGAAGTGATAAGAGTTATCAATAAAATGTGAAAAAATCCATAAAAACCAAGAAGAGAAACCAAATCCTCCTCTCCTCACTACATTAGTAAGTACCCCAATGGTCTTGGTCAGCACAATCCTTCAGTCTTTTTCTTTCTCCAATTCACACCCCTTTGTGGTTATAATTAAAGAGACAAATTTGTAAATTTGTAACCCACTTCTGGACATGTTATTATCCTCATCATGACTGATTTGTTTTGGTGGTAGGGTCTTACATAGTAGTCCGTACTTGCTGTGAACTCTTTGTGTAGCCAGGCTGGCTTTGAAAGTTTTGTTAATATATACTTTTTGATTCAAGTAATGTATACGGATCATATTCAGATCCCCTCCCCCTCTCAACTCCCACCTACTACTCTCTACAACTTCATGTCCTCTATAATTTGTCTTTTTTTTAAAAAGGCCCATTGAATCTACTTTGTGTTTCCTAGATGCTCTTGGGTGTAGGTCTATGACTTGGAGTCTGGTCAACATACCAGGTATCACACCAGTAAGGAAAACTGACTTCCTCCCTCCCAGCATCTATCAATTGCCAACAGATTCTCAGCTAGGGCTGGGATTTCCTGTCCACCTCCCCCATTCATGCTGGGTCCCTACCTGGCTTGAGTTTACACAGATCTTGTGCATACTGTCACAAGTGCTGTGGGTTCATATGTGCAACTACCCTGTGGTGTTAGAAAACGCAGTTTCTTTGTGGTCATTGACCCCCTCTCGCTCTTACAATATTTCCTCCTCTTCTTCAATGATCCCTGAGCCACGGGAAGAGAGGGTGAGATATAAGAGAGGTCAGGGGTGGGGGATAACTAACACTAAAGGCCTTTTGAAAGAGTCATCTGGAAATCTACTACAGAAGCTTTTTCAATATATGCATATACAATACAAATAATTTAAATGTAGTTACCTTAAACAGGATTCAGTGGCCCTAATAGACACCACAGGCTAGCAAATGAAAAGCCCAATGACAGGAATGGACTCCCTCTTTTGGAGCTGTTGACTAGAGAGATCCCATAGACCTTCAAACAATACTGGCTATCGCCACAGTACTTGCTTACCCACCAGAACTCAAGGTGAGACCCTACTGCTGAAGACACTACATACTTGAGTCATAGAACAAACAAGGAGAAATTAAGCCAATTCTGACCTTGACACTTCATCTCTGCTGACTAGCTTTCATAGTACTAAAGGGTGTCATGCCTGTTACTAGCAAAGAAAGGTCATCATTAAACTTACCCAGCTATGAACCCTGCAAGCTACAATAACTGGCATGGCAAAAAATGTCCACTGGTACAATAGTGGCATGAATATTATGGGAGTAAACCAAACACCTTCACCTAATTGCATTTAAGGCCCACTTTGCAAGATGGAGTCCATATGTGATACTGTTATCAGGGCAAAGAACCCGTGGTTAGACACATCACAGGTCATAGGTGAAATCTACTATCATTCTTCTAAATAGACATATCTTTAAACTGACTCCTAATGAGTTACTGTTATAGCCACACATTAATGCATCTCTCAACTCTTACAAAAGAAGGTTCTTCTTGCAACAGATGGTGATTAAGACAGCGATCCACAACTGGTCAAAGTAAAGAGATTAAAGGACTGCAGAGTGCTCAGCCCTAAATGTCTTTAAACTCTTGATCTTCTTGCCTTAGCTTCATGAGTGTTATTTTAAAAGAATTTGTAAAAAGCTGCATAGTATTTTAATTTAGTGTTAAGACTAATTTGTTCAACTGTTCCCACAAAATTGGAAATCTTGCCAACATCTATGACAAACAGTCATATTTTTAGGATAGGCTTCTAGAAGTAGAATTATATTATAATATGAAAAAAATGTAAAGTTATTGAGTATTGCAAAATACCTTTCCAAAAAGGAAACACTAGTTTCCATGATGACTAGTAACAGAGCAATATTCCTAAAGCACTGGGCAGCTTACCAAGTTTTAGACTTGTTCTAATCTCACTGGTTAAAAACCTATTTTGCCACATGGTACAAATTATTGTAAGTTGGTTGCCGAATATTCATTGTGAAAGTGTTAAATAACTAATAATCAAAGACAATGAGGCAATGATTGTTAGAAGTTTTGAAGTGGTATTTGTACTTGATTTTACAGAGCTAAGAAACACAAAATCATTAAAACAAAATAATTTATGCCTTGTGCTATGTTAGTTTTTGTCAACTTGACACAAACTAGATACCTGAGAAGAAGGAAATTCAACTGAGTAATTCCTTCCATCATACTGGCTTGTGGCCATGTCTTTGAGGCATTTTTGATTGTTAATTGATGTAGGAGGTTCCAGTTCACTGTGAGCAGTGCCATCCCTAGGCAGGAGGGCTATATAAGTAGCTGAGCATGCCAGGAAAGGAAGTCAGTAAGCAGTGTTCCTCTGTGGTTTCTGCTTCAGTTTCTGCCTTTTGGCTCCTGCTTGAGCTTCTGCTCTGACTTCCCTTGATGAAGATGACACTGTAAGCTGAAATAAACTCCTTCCTCCCCTAGGTTCCTTTTGCTCAGTGTTTTATCACAGTAACAGAGAAGCAAACTACAACATCCCTTTCTTGGAAGACACCGTATTTTTTTAAATCATTTTAGCACTGTGCTCTTTCCTTGCCCAAGGACACTCCTCCCCTGAGCTGGCCAAAGTTAGCAGTTCAGTTATCCATCAAAACTCTTTCCCTTCTTGGTGACTGTATCATTTCACATACTTCTACAGGATAAATTATATCTATTAAAATGTTCTGTGGCATTAGTATCAGGTAGTGTTAGAACAATATGGTTAAGTGATGGACCACATATAGCACAGTGGTCCCACAAAATGATCATGGAACTGAAAAAAGTGCTGTTGCATTATACTGTTGTGGCTATGCTAATGTCATACAATAATGGATTTCTCACATTTATGGTAACAGTGTGCTGGCAGTTGCATAAAAGTGTAATATATATACAGTTATGATGCACAGTACACAATATTTGATAAAGAAGTAACTGTACTGTTGTTTTCTGTATCATTATTTTAGTGTGTATCATTATTTTAGTGTGTACTCATCTGTTTATAAAAGGTTTATTGCAAACAATATGCTTTCATGCCCTCAGTAGCCTCCTAATCTTTTATTTACTGCCTTTCTTGATTTCACTATTTTCTCTCATGTTGTTTGGTTAACCATGGTCTGAAAAGCAACAGGCTACTACCACTACCACCCTTCTAGCCCCCCACCTTCCCCCTCCCCCCACCACTACCACTGCCACCCCCATCCCTCATATCCACCCCCTTACCCCCACCATTACCACCACCACTACCACCAGCACCACCTCCAACCCCACCCCACCCTTACCACCACCCTCAGCCCACCCCCCACCACTTCCACCACCATTACACACACACACACACACACACACACACACACACTCCACTTAGATGACAGTTATACTGCCTAGCCTGCCATATATATATATGTATATTCTTGCTCTGCATTCACACAACTATGACACTACATAATGGTATATACACTTCTCCAAGTACACTCATAGTTAAGAAATGCATAACTGTATATAGACTTTGGAGTCAGACAAACCTGAGACCAAGTCCAATAGCTTCCAATTATACAACTTTAGACAAAATTACAATCCTCTGAAAGACTATATACTCATGTATAAAACAGGGATAATTATTCCTCAGAGGGTTACTAGAAGGATTTGATAATGTAGTCTACCTCAAAAAAGTCATCGTAGTGCCTGGCATATAGTAAATCCCCCCAAATGGGCAGCTGTTGTGTGTCATCAGCTTTACTAGGTGAAGAACTCCTGGAAGGAATGAACCATATCACTGTGTGAGTAGGAGGGTGGCCCCTAGCACAATGAAGAGGATCCATAAATGTGTACAATATGCTGTTTCTCCTATATAGCAAATGAAAAAAAATCACTTAGTAGACTGAATTAATGATTCAGTCTTTATATATGTATGAAGACATCCTAAATGAGCTCTGAAATGTCTTCCCCAGGCTTATTCATGGACTC